AATATAATTACCTATAAAACAATTGGAAAGGACCAACCAATTTGGTTAGTAGCTGTTAGGTATAAATGGTTAATTTAGGGGAAAATGTTGGCCAGGAATAATAAAAGCAAAAATCATAGATAGGCTTTTAAGTTTACTCTCTTTTAAACTACTTTTGGAGAATATTTTTTGGTATTCGTCCATTAAGTTCACCTTATGGACACCTGATCTCTGCTTGAGGTTGGATGTGAAAACTGCAACCTGCATGGCTAGGGTTCAGGACCTGGAGAAGGACCATGCATAAATGAAGAGACTAGACAAGAAATATGAATTTGGAAATCACAGGGGGCCAGGCGGAGAGCCATTCTCTAGTGAAAAGGCTTCACTGGTGCCCAGGCCCTGTTAGCTTTTTATTCAATTTTAGATACACATCTTGCCCTTAGGCAGTCAGGCAATCTGGTAACAGACAGACTATCTTAAAGGTCAGGAAATATTAGTAAAGATTTACTTTGAGACTATTAGGTCAGGAAATTGCTTGAGCCACTATGTCTCAACAGAACAATCGGTGCATAGCTTTAGCCCTTGCCAAAGCTCAAGGTTTATCAGCCTTCTGGGTTCCCTGTTTGCACTTTCATGATTGTGTAGATTATGGATAGCTTCCAGCAGTTGGAGGCATTTATTTTCTTCTGTAAACACAGCTGCTGTTCATATTTGTGGCAGAATTAAAATTCCAAAATGCTGTCAGTCCATCTTTGCTGTGTGGAGTATCACATTTATAATAGAATTAGAGGCCCAGTGAATGAAATTCATGCATGGGGGGGGTGGTTCCCTCAGCCTGGCCTGCACTTCCTTGCAACCCGGGACCCCTTGGGGGATGTCCCACAAGGATCAGGCCTAAACTGGCAGTCAGACATCCCTCTCGCAATCCAAGACTGCTGACTCCTAACCACTCCCCTGCCTGTCTGCCTGATCGCCCCTAACCCCTCTGCCTGATTGCTCCTAACTGCTCGCCTGCCTGTCTGATCACCCCTAACCCCTCTGCCTGCCCGCCTGATTGCCCCTAACAGCTCGCCTGCCTGCCTGCCTGATCACTCCTAGCCACTCTGCCTCCTTGGTCGCCCCTAACTGCTTGCCTACCTACCTGATTGCCCCTAACCGCTCACCTGCCTGCCTGATCACCCCTAACTGCTCGCTGCCTGCTTGATCACCTCTAACCACTTGCCTGCCTGATCACCCCTCATCGCTCTGCCTGCCTGCTTGATCACCCCTAACCACTCGCCTACCTGATTGATTGCCCCTAACCACCTCTGCCTCAGCCCCCACCATGGCTGCTTCGTCCGGAAGGACAACCAAAATGATGTCCGGAAGGTCATTCGGCTGTCCGGTCTAATTAGCATATCATGCTTTTATTATCCTACTAGAGAGAGGCCCGGTGCACAAAAATTTGTGCACTCTGGGGGGGGAGTCCTTCAGCCCTGCCTGTGCCCTCTCGCAGTCTGGGACCCCTCAGGGAATGACCACCTGCTGGCTTAGGCCTGCTCCCCGAGGGACTGGGCCTAAGATGGCAATCAGACATCCCTCTGGCAGCCCGGCAGCCCTTGGGGGATGTCCACTTGCCAGTGGGGAGCAGACCTAAGCTGCAGTCAGACATCCTTAGCGCTGCTGAGGAGGCAGGAGAGGCTCCCACCACCACCGCTGTACTAGCAGCCATCAGCCTGGCTTGTGGCTGAGCAGAGCTCCCCCTGTGGGAGCGCACTGACCACCAGAGGGCAGCTCCTGCATTGAGCGTCTGCCCCCTGGTGGTCAGTGTGTGTCATAGTGACCAGTCTTTGTGCTGTTAGGGTCAGTTTGCATATTACCCTTTTACTATATAGGATAGAGGCCTGGTGCACGGGTGGGGGCCTGCTGGTTTGCCCTGAAGGGTGTCCCGGATCAGGGTGGGGGTCCCGCTTGGGTGCCTGGCCAGCCTGGGTGAGGGGCTGATGGCTGTTTGCAGCTGGTCACACCCCCTTCAGGGTGGGGGTCCCCACTGGGGTGCCTGGCCAGCCTGGATGAGGGGCTGATGGCTATTTTCAGGCTGCCTGCATCCCCTTTAGGGTGGTGTTCCCCACTGGGGTGCCTGGCCAGCCTGGGTGAGGGGCTGAGGGCCGTTTTCCGGCTGGCCGGCGACTGAAGCTCCCAGCCTCTCCTTTTTTTCTTTTTTTATTCTGGGATTTATTTACCTTCTATAATTGAAACTTCATTGCTGTTACTGGAGTTGAGAGCCGGCTCCAGCTCTGAGGCCATGGCCTGCTGAAAGCAGGTATCTGGGGTTTGTTTAGCTTCTATAATTGAAGCTTTGTTGCTTTTGGAGCTTATAGCTGGGTCGTGGCAGGCAGGGAACCTTGGCTTCCTCCATCACTGGAGCAAGCAAGCCTCCTGCTCGCTTCAGCTGCTTGGCTGCTGGCCGCCATCTTGGTTGGTGGTTAATTTGCATATCACCCTGATTAGCCAATGGGAAGCGTAGCGAAGGTACGGTCAATTACCCTTTTGTCTTTTATTAGATAGGATATAATAAAAGCGTAATATGCTAAGTGTCCGGTTATCCAGTTGGCCATTCAACCAATCAAAGCGTAATATGCTAACGATATGCTAAGGCCACTCAACTGCTCAGTATAATGTGCACTGACCACCAGGGGGCAAACAGTCGACTGGTTGGCCAGTCGCTATGACATGCACTGACCACCACAGGTCAGATGCTCATTGCAGGAGCTTCCCCCTGGTGGTCATTGTGCTCCCACAGGGGGAGCACTGCTCAGCCAGAAGCTGGACTCTCAGCTGGCGAATGCAGCGGTGGTGGCGGGTGCTAAGGATGTCTGACTGACGGCTAGGCCAGCGGTTCTCAACCTGTGGGTCGAGACCCTTTTGGGGGTCAAATGACCCTTTCACAGGGGTCACCTAAGATCATCGGACAACACATATATAATTACATATTGTTTTTGTGATGAATCACTATGCTTTAATTATGCTCAATTTGTAACAATGAAATTGGGGGTCACCACAACATGAGGAACTGTATTAAACGGTCGTGGCATTAGGAAGATTGAGAACCACTAGCTTAGGCCCACTCCTTGGGAATGGGCCTAAGCTGTCAGACATCCCTGGAGGGCTCCTGGACTGCAAGAGAGCACAGGCTGGGCTGAGGGACCCCTCCCCCCACCCCGAGTGCACAGATTTCATGCACTGGGCCTGTAGTTTAATATACTAAAGAGCTTTTATGCAAATGGTTGTGACACCCTCACGTGTAATGACCGATCAGCAGGAGGCTGTGTGCGCAGCAGGGGTGGGTGGGCGGAGACTTGCAGCATCGAGGACTTTCGTGAGGCTCGTGTTCCCAGCGCTGGCCCTGGGGATGTGAGGCTCACAGAGGCCTACCTCTTTGGGGCGATGGATCATGGGGCTCCCACACTGTGACAGGGCACAGGCAAGGCTGGGGGGACCCCCCCCCCAGTGCACAAATTTTATGCACCGCACCCTAACTGGTTTGGCTCAGTGGATAGAGCGTCGGCCTGTGGACTCAAGGGTCCCAGGTTTGATTCCGGTCAAGGCATGTGCCTTGGTTGCAGGCACATACCCAGTGGGGAGTGTGCAGGAGGCAGCTGATCAATGTTTCTCTCTCATCGATGTTTCTAACTCTCTATCCCTCTCCCTTCCTCTGTGTAAAAAATAAACAAAATATATTTTTTAAAAAATGTCATGCACCGAGCCACTAGTTATCCCCGATTACAATTCCACTTGTATGTGTCCTAGTTGAAAAAATACTCTGAATTTATCTGCACATGCACTACAAAGGGATTTTTAACAAAATATCTTCATGTACAAACTTTTGAAAATACGGCTTTAAAGGGAAGTGTATATGAAAAGTTTATTTGTAAATAATGAAAGCAATTATTACAAATATAAACCTGGTTATAAAAATTTATTTGACCTCTACTTATAAGAGTGCTCTAGCCCTAGCTGGTTTGGCTCAGTGAATAGAGCACCAGCCTGCAGACTGAAGGGTCCCAGGTTAGATTCCAGTTAAGGCACATGCCTGGGTTGTGGGCTTCATCCCCAGTAGGGGACATGCAGGAGGCAGCTGATGAGTGATGTTTCTATCTCTCCCCTCTCCCTTCCTCTCTGAAATAAATTTTGAAAAATGTTTTTTTTTTTTTTAAAAAAACAGTGCCTATTAGGAGTTGAAGCACTTGTTAGGTGTTTCATCAGAAACTTTAAAATTATGGCATATACAAACTTAAATTCATATATTAAAAATACCAGTTTAAAAAAGTATAATTTTTAGTAAGAAATTCGCAGGCTCTTGGATCTTCCACAAGAGAGATGTGCAGCATAGATGTCTCACCTCTACGCAAGTGAAACAGTGGATGATTTAATTTCATTGGTGCCCCGGAAAGTTTTGACCTGACCTAGGTTTCAGAGTACGAAAGCAAGCTCTAATGCCAGGATTTTCTTCCTGGAGCAATAAGAGAGTCATTTTTGTGAAGGTGTCAGATTCTAAGAAAATGAAATTGTAACCTCAGTCTTTTTTACACTTTATTTTTAAATTTTATTTATTTTAATTAAATTTATTGGGGTGACATTGGTTAATAAAATTATGTAGGGTTCAAGTGTACAATTCTATGGCACATCATCTGCATATTGTACTGTGTGTTTACCACTCACAGTCTCTCTTACGTGTGTATGTCTCATAATTCTCCAGTGCCAACCTTTCTGTCTAGTATAGTATGTAAGTGGCATAGCCCGGAAAGGGGTAAGTGTGCAGGCTACAGGAAGAACCAGTAGAATGTAATTAGGAAAGGTTCGGCCGTGTCAGGATCAGATGTTTTCATGGAGAAACATGGATATTCCACCTGCACGTGAAGTTCTTTGTTTCTTGTCTTCTGAGAATATTTACTAAAATACCTGAAGGCTTGTGTCCTCTCGCACACGGTGTTTGGCCTGCTGTCAGCTCACACCCCGGCGGTTCTTGGTCTCTCGTGCAGTTCAGTGGGCCCGGGGAGGAGAAGCTGAAGCACGCTGCCGCCACCTTCTGCAGCAACCAGCCCTTCGCCTTGGAAATGATCAAATCTCGTCAGAAAAAGGACTCTCGGTTCCAGACGTTCGTGCAGGTGAGTTTCGGGTGACTGAGAGAAAATAGTTTTACCAATTGTAGAGTCTCAGCCTGTCTTTCACAAGGGTTATATCTATGTGAATGCTTTTTAAAGCTATAACTGCCCTCTTCAGTTACTGATGGTAGAAAGGTGATCTTGGGATGGTGAAAAATAAAGAGTATATTCATGATGAAAATACTTGACATAGACGTTCACATTGCCATGGAGATATTGTCCTGAAATGGCCATGCACACTATTAAAATAATATCATCAAAACATAGAAATGGGTTTACAACAAGCCCAGAGAAGAACATAACAGCAGCCATATGACTGAGGTATACATGGGCAGTGATCAAGGGTCAGTGAGCTACAGCCCAGGGGCCATATCCATTCTCTTGCTTGTTTTGGTCAATCATTTTATTGGAAAACAGTCAGGTAGTTTTTTATTGCCAGATAGTAAATCACCACAAGCACAGGAACGTGACACACTGTCCATGCGTGATGCCCTGGTGTGGGTTGAGGAGGACGTGTAGTTCAGCTGGGTCCTCCCTTCACCTGTACTTCTCACCTGGGCTGGGGGTCCTCTTCTAGGCCCACTTGTTAGCAGAATTCACATCCTTGTCAATGCATAGCCGAGATCCTCGTCTGTTGTCTTGGCCCCTAGCCGATGCCGTATCTGTTTGCTTCACGGCCCCTGTGGGCAGTTTGGAAGGTGAGTGTTTGCTTTCTTCCAGGCGAGTAGGAATGCATATCCCTGACGGAGCTTTTCTTTAAAGTAAAGGCTCTTCTGATAAGTCAGCCTCACCTACGACAGGCTTCAGAAGTCCACCCGTAGTAGCCTAGTCCCAGGTGTGATGTCCCATCCGACGCCAGGTTCTGGCCACAGCACGGGGATGGGATTATACAGGTGTGGACACCAGAGGGAATGTGGGGGCCATCTCAGAACTTTTAATACACATCACCATGTTCATTCATTGACATATTGGCTGCTGTTGTTCTAAAACAGCAGAGTTGAAAGTTGTGCAGAGACTGTAAGGCCTGAAAAGCCTCAAATGCTTTATTGTCTGGCACTTCACCAACTGCGGATCTGCCTCCTTGGGATGGCAGCCCGCATATCAGCTCACTTGGTTTGGTAGGAATGCCAGTTATAAGCACATGAAACTAGAGTTTCTGAATATGTGAAGATAAAACTGTGTTATACCAAGAAAGTAATTCTTGGAGTTGATTATGGATGCTCTAAGTTGTTGCTTAAACAGATAACAAGCCATTGGTCTAGTGATAAAGAGAAACAAGTATAGTGTGGCAGTGGTATGTCTTAGCATGTGGTAAGTTTTATTTAATTACCAGGGCTGTGATGCTGTAGACACTTATGTAATGAACATGTGGTCCATGATAGGTGTCCTCCTAATAACCAGGATCAATTCCCCCCTCCCTTTCATGCAGGATGCTGAGAGTAACCCACTGTGCCGGCGCCTGCAGCTGAAGGACATCATTCCCACCCAGATGCAGAGGCTCACCAAGTACCCTCTCCTCTTGGACAATATTGCCAAGTACACAGGTCAGCACTCATGGAAATTCAAAAGCTTAGCAACAAAACCACAAACGTCTCTCAGAGCATTCTGGTGCCTGCAGGTTTCCAAATCCTAGAGCAAAATCCTATATAATAAAAGAAAAACATGCAAATTAACCATCACTCTGTCACTCCACTACACCCACCAGCCAATCAGGAGCAAGTATGCAAATTAACCCAACTAAGATGGCAGCAGCCACAGAGCTGGAGCGAGCAGGAGGCTTGGGTTGCCCCCGGTGATGGAGGAAGCCAAGCAGTTCCCCACCTACCCCTCTTCCTCCTTCCCTCTCTGCCCGCGTCCACTGCCACCCACCCCTGTTTCCCTGTCCCAGCCTGGGGCCCGGCCCCAATCAGGTGATCGGGACCTGTGGGCTGGGGGCAGCTCCTCTGTTGAGCATCTGTCCCTGGTGGTCAGTGTGCATCATAGCGACCGGTCATTTCATCGTAACGATTGCTTAGTCATACACACACACACACACACACACACACACACACACACACACACATATATACACATATACTAGGGGCCTGGTGCATGAAATTCGTGCACTGGGGAAGGGGTGCCCCTCTCACATACTGGGAGCCCTCAGGGGATGTCCTAGTGACGGCTTAGGCCCGCTCCCTGCTCCCCTTGGGGATAGGGCCTAAGCCGTAGTCTGGCCTCCCTTTGTGGGAGGCGACCAGGCTGATCAGGGGAAGGCACCAGCCCCATCACCCCGCTGCTGCAGCCACTGCCAGTCACCGCAGCCAGCAAGGTGTTTTCATCAACACGGACTCCAGTCCCTTCACCATGAAAAAATGACAACTTTCTTTAGGCATTTTAAGATGTGTCTTTCATATAATAATAATTTCTTTATTATTTTTTTTTATCCTCACCTGAGGATATGTTTTCATTGATTTTTAGAGAATGTGGAAGAGAAAGGGAAAGACAGAGAGAAACATCAAAGTGAGAGGAACACTTTGATTGGTTGCCTCCTGCATGAGCCCTGACCTGGGCCTTGGCCAGGGAGGAGCCTGCAACCTAGGTACATGTCCTTGGTCAGAATTGAACTCAGACCCTGCCATCGGCAGCCCAAGGCATTATCCACTGAGCCAAACCAGCTAGGGCAGGATATAACATTTCTTAGCCCTCCAGCAGCGGACCTTCGTTTTTTTCACCAGGAGTGTGGTGGAAAAACCCTAGATCACCTTTTTGGATTCTTATTACCCAAGTTACTAAGATTATTACCAGTGGCATACAGGGAGCTAAGCCAATGAGCAGTCAGAAAAGGTGTTTCCTCTGTAGTTCACCCCAATCGCCGGCTTGGTCCCCGCCCCCCCCCCCAGGCCTGGGCAGGGGACCCCCATCTCCCCCCGATCACTGGCTTCTGGGCAGCTTCTGGGGCTGGCCTGTGGCCCATGATGGCGGCTCGCGCTGGCAGCTGCGCTGTCCTGCCCTGCCTGCAGTATGCAAATTAGCCGCCATCTTTGTTGATGGTTAATTTGCATATCGCATTGATTAGCCAGTAGGATGTATAGTGAAGGTATGGTCAGTTACCATATTTGTCTATTATTAGATAGGATATATATACATACACATACACATACACACTTTTTTCTGATTTCCTCCATTTACATTTGGATTTTTGCCCTTGTTTAGAGTGGCCAACAGAAAGGGAGAAGGTGAAGAAAGCAGCTGATCACTGTCGTCAGATCTTAAATTATGTAAATCAGGCTGTCAAGGAAGCAGAAAACAAGCAGGTAAGAAGGGAAAAGCAAAAAGATACAGGATGGCATAGTGAGAATATTAAATTAGCATCACCTGGAATCTGTGAAATAATAATTGAAAACCTCACTGCATAACTGCAGGGTGGATGTTTGTTAACTTCACATCGTCGGTGGGTCTGGGTCACTTTGGGCAGAATATGAGAGTTCTGGCTGACTGTCCAAGCATCTCCAGCTGCTTGTTTGCTCGTTCATTCATGAATTCAGTGACCGTGGAGCATCTGTGGGTGCTGAGTGTAGGGCACAGAGAGGTTAAAAAGTGAGCACAGTGCTGGCCCACACTGAGCTTGTTTTCTAGCAGGACGGAATGTCATTGAGCAGATCAAAGTGCAAGTGTTTTATGTCAGTGTTGATAACTTCAATGAAGGAGAATTTCAGGATGCTAGGAGTGTAGGTCGCTGGGTGGATTCCCAGTCAGGGCACATGACCGGGGTTGCGGGCTGGATCTATGTTTCTCTCTCAGGGATGTTCCTCTCCCTCCCTCTCCCTTCTTCTCTCTCCAATAAAAAAAAAAACAAAACAAAACTTAAAAAAAAAAAAAAAAGCATGGTCTGTTTGAGGAACTTAAAGATGAGATTATTGTGTTTATCATGATGAAACGCAAGTCGTAGTGACATGAAATTAGGTGCAGTGGGGATGGGCCATACCATGCAGGGCTCTGTACCAAGCATATCAAACTCATGGCCTGCGGCTGAGGCATGCGGCCCGCCGGCTGGGAGTTTGACATGCTTGCTGTAGACCCTGTTTAGAAACGTTTCTATTCTAAGAGCAATAGGGCTTCATTATAGACGTTCAAGAAGGAGAGGAGCCTGCTCGGGTTTTCACTTTATAAGTATCAGCCATCTACTCTGGAGAAAGGGCTGAAGAGGGACGAGAACGGATGCAAGAGCTCACGGGTCTCAGTGGCCAGGACGATGCCGGTGCTCCGAGCGGTGCTAGGCTTGGAGAAGTATTTAGAAGATGGAATTGACAGAGTGTGTTGCCTGACTTAGAGAAGGATTTGAAGAGAGAGAATGTCGGGAATAAACCAAGGTCTCTGACTTGCACATTTGGGATGAGTGGAGGAAGACTGAGTTCATTTGAGACATCAGGGAACATGCACAGTAAGCAGTTGGCTACATGGGCCCAGCTCTCAGCGCACTGGACCGGAGATCAAACACAAGCGCACAGAGGCCTCCTGAGTCCGTGGACCTGGATGTAATTTTTAGGAACTGAGTATGATGACGACTCTATTGGTGAGGTGATAGAAAAATGGGAACTTGCCAGGGTGTGATTCGAGTAAAAAATAATCAAACGCCAGAGGGCAATACTTATGTAAATTAAAAATACACATATTCATATATCCTTTGACCCAGCCATTCTTTTTCCTAATTATTACCCAGGACAGAAAAAAAAAAAAGTAACAGAGAATAGAACTTGAAAGAAAAGGTGACAGGAAATGTCCTTTAAAGAGCCATGTATAGAAGGCATCATGAGAAATAGTCCCGACAATCTGCAAAGTCTAGGGTCATTATGGGGAGGCGGGGCTCTGCTGAGGACCAGCTGTTCTATACGCTTGTAGGATGTGGAAAATACGTGTGTGATTACAGTGCTGTGTGCATTTAATACATTCAATAGCCAATCCCATCATCCTGAGACAAACCTGGCAGGAAAAAATTCTGACGTCTATTTTAGGAATAACAAACTTATGAA